TATCTATCTATCTATCTATCTATCTATCTATCTATCTATCTATCTATATATATATATATATGTATATATATATATATATATACATACATACATAGTAGGATGTAAGTAAAATTCCAGCCCACAGACACACATACTTTAAATCCTGAAAGAATTTGGGATCCTGCCCTAACCATTTGTGTTCTGAGGTACCCCTGCTCTTATCTGATATGCTCTGGAAAGTTGCCTTGAATGACCCAGAATCCCTTTGTGCTTACAGCCAAAGTAGAATTGTAGAATTTCCTAGCTGGAAGGGACCATAAAGGTCATTCTAGTCCAACTTCCTCATTTTACAAATGAGGATCCCACTGCCTCTATTTCCTTCCCTGAATTTCTCCTCATAGCTGTTTCTGTTTCTTAGAAAAACAAAGATAGTCATTGCATATAAGTAGCTCTCCTGCTTTCCCATTCATTCCTCTGGGCAATGATCTGAGAGGTTCTTTACCTTCTCTAAAAGACAGAGCAGTCTTTGATAGTGAAAGTGGTGTGAGTGGAGGTGGGAGCAGAGGTTACATATCCTCTTTGATCATTTCCCTGGTCTTCTATTGGGATCTAATATCCCTTAAAATCCCTATGGCACTTTACACCTTGAGACTTCAGGGTTTTAGGAGAGCTTCATGTGATGGAGGCAGAAAAAAAATTACTGCACACAGGGCCATCCCTAGGAAGTACAAGACCTCTCATTCACCTTCACATTTTTAGCCAGATGAAATCTGGTTAAGATTAACTTTAACCCTAAAGTGGGGGCAGGGTGTATGTATGTATGTATGTATGTATGTATGTATGTATGTATGTATTTATATATGTATGACTGCCTATGTAGGAAGGGTGAGGAGGTCTCACCTTTGATGCCTTGTTGTATGAGGGGGAAAAGAAGGTACTGTGGTTGGGATGTTACATGCTGATGCTTATTGCATTTTTTTGTCAATGCTGCCTCCTTTTCTGTTTCCTCAGTCATATCCCAGCTGCCTGGTTCCCCATAGTAATGGGGAGGCCTAAGACTATTATCCCAATTTGCTGTGCCCTAGGGTTGCTTAGCACCCCTTTTTGACCTTATTACTTTGTACAGAAATCTTTTGAGAGCTTTTTGCCTTGCTTATATGAGAACATTGGTTACTCACCAACTTATTGTACCTCCAATGCTATAGTCCCTACATTTCATTCCTGTCATTGTCTGTCCCCTTTCTCTCTTTTGAGAATGAAAATGTTTGACCCCAGAACCACTAAGTGGATTATTGAGAATTGTGGATAAATGACATGTTCCTGCTCTAGCCATGTTTTGTGTACTCCATGTGTCCTAAAAACTTAAGGAGCTGCCACATATAACAAGGGGTATGGAAATTACATTGGATTGACTATCATAGTCCAAACAAATAAACCACATCATGTCTGCTATAAATGTCATTCTTCTATCAAGAAACTAGGAAGTAGCTTCTGTTTGGGGGGGGGGGGATATGGATTTAGGTAAAAACTTTTAGAATTATAAGTTTTTTTTTTAGTTTTTGCTTTTTGGTGAGGCAATCAGGGTTAAGTGACTTGTCCAGGATCACGCAGCTAGTAAGTGTCAAGTGTCTGAGTCCGGATTTGAACTCAGGTTCTCCCGACTCCAAGCCGGAGCTCTATTCACTGCGCCACCTAGCTGCCCCTATAAGTAATTTTTAAAGAAAGCAAGAAATAAGAGAATTAGAGAGTCATAAATGTTAGGGATTGAGAGGCCTTCCTCATTTTGCAATTGAGGGAGCTTTGGTCCGGATGAGAGAGGTGACTTGCTCATGGTCACCCAGGTAGTTAGTGTAAGAGTTTGGACTGGATCTCCTGACTCTCACTTCACTGTGGATGTAGTTTTCATTCCTATACCATACTACCTCTAACAAACGTATGAGTTTTTTCAAAGTCATTGTGCCTACGGGTTTATGTTATGACTCGTACAAAAAACAATTCATTTGGCTTGGTGTATTATTTTAGATGCAAAGAATAACATAAGGCCATTCCACATTTATTCTAATGTCCATACTTTGAAAGAAGAACGTTTTAAACAGAAATTCCAAGTTACTTGTATTTGAGTTAAGCAGAATGAGCAAAAGTATGAAGCCTTTTGAGTGGAACTGTGAAATATTAGGTCCTTGAAAATTCTACTTTGACAACTTTGAAAGACATGAGAAGGCAGCTGAACCTGTTATGTTTGATCAGGAGGTTGTTTATTCTGCTTAATTTCAATGGCTTAGTTGAATTTCATAAGATTTTGAATGACCTTAAATAGCTGTCAACCCTTGGGCAGAATCTATCAGGCTGTTTTCAGACAGCATGTATCGTTGTCAAAAGATCAGGTTACTGTGTATGAGCCATGACAGATGCATGCCGTACATTAAATTGCAGCACGTAAAGCAACATAATCTCCCAGTTCATAGACTCCTACCTAAAAACAAGCTGGGCCTTTTGGAAGCAATAGCCATCCTGCTAGGCTGCTAGGGATCCCTAGTCAGTTGAGACTTCAGTGTCCTGGGCATGAAGCTTCCTAAGGTCCAGAGCTCAACTCTGAGCAGAGGAGCTCCTCATCTCCATCACCTCGCTACTGTACTTCAGCCCTGTTGTAAACCCCACTGCAGTTTGTTTGTTTGTTTGTTATTAAAGAATGCAATCTTTAAAAAATTAAGATTGTTAACATTACCAGGACGAGCCAGCACTATGAATGAAATTTCATGGATTATATTTTATTTCTCTTACTTTTACTCTGCAATTTGACTCCAGAGTCATGGTTTTCCTCTTCTGGTAAGAATGGCAGCCAGAAAAGAAAGGAAAATAAAACTAACAAAAAAAAAAATAAAACCAACAACAAAACAAAACAAAAATTTGAACCCTGTTGCTGCTGAGTCAATTCAGAGTTAATTCTGGAAAAAAAAAATATGTATATAGTCTTGTTTACAAATGAAATATTTTGGCTTAAAAGAGGATGATAGCATGGGAGTTTAATTAGTCAAAAGATACACAGCAGACGTGCACTTGAGCATTGTTTACTCAATTTCGTATGTCTATACTGATGTGTATTTAATATTCTGCATCTTTCTCTGGAAATGACAAGTGCCCTGAATTCTTTGCAAGTTGAAAATGCTAATGAAAAACAAAAGTGTTAGAATTAAGTGATGATTAAAAATTTATCTCCTTTAAAACTAAAATACATGGCTTTCATAACTGGGTTGTCATAGAAATAAATACCTTATGTTGGAATCCCTTGTGGTGCCCAGACCTAAATAAATACTAATTTGGGAAACTTAAATATCCTTCAAGAGAGTTGAGGGCACTTGTTAGCATTGAGTCTGTTTCTGGTGGCTTATTAGTGTATAAGGTCATTACAGAAACCCAGGCTTACAGAAGCATGGAGCTATTATGACAAGCTGTACACTTGGCTCTACTGTGGAGAGACTATCACTCAGTGATAACAAGACACACAGAAATAGCTTTACTTCCATGTAAGGGAAAGTTGGTTTAACTCAAATGTATTCGAGCCTATTCAAAACAAAGCAAAATTTTATATATAAAAGTCTTTCTCTTTCCAGTATAGTTTTCATTTGTTTATTTATTTTTACAGAAAACAAACACAAAACTGCTATTCCTTCCCAAGTAGTCCCTTTTCATTTCTTTGGAGCAGGATTGTAAGATTTCCAAAGGTCCTGTGTTTTAACATGTCACCCAGTTGGTGACTCTTTTGCCTTTTGATTTGTCCCTTTACACTGTACTGTGTTAGCATCAAATTGTATTAGAATAAAATAGATTTATCACTGATAACAAGAAGAAGTAATCAAATGCACTTATCCTGTGAATATGCTAGTGTACACATGTATATAATATACATGTTAATACACATATGAGTGTATTATTCACATAATATTGTATATATTGTAAAGTTACTACTGTTAAAATTAAACGGTGATTATGATATTAACATATGGAAAACCCATTCTGGTTATTTTAATTGAATGATGTCTGTGTTGTGGAGGTCAGTTTCCTGGTGTCTCCTCTCTC